AGGAATCCGATCATGGCATATAATTCCCATTCTCTTTTTCCTATATTTCCAAGGTTACTGAGGGAAAAGATCAAATACTGACAGATTAGTTCTGACATTCCTCATAGCATTTTCAATTGTATTGAACATTAATTATTTTAAGAAGTAACTTTCCTCTCTGTCCACTCACCTAAATCAATCATATCATAAATCCTAATTGAAAACTAAGTAAAGGATGCTTGGAGTTCTGAGCAAATTCTTCTCACAGAAATTTAGTAAATACTTAGCCCTGCATAATAGGAAGGAGTTGCCTCTCCTCTCGCTAACTTTCCCCAGAGTCCAGCAGAGTTACTGTATATTTGCACTGGAATAAGATCATGCCGCCATGACTGTGCAGAACAAACACCCACACTCACAAAGGACTGATTACAGCTTGCACCCAGTAACAGCAGATTTAGGTGACATTCCTTTCTTCCCACTCCTACAGAATAGCTGTAACAAAACCATGAAAGGCATTTGATTTCCTCCTCCCTTGCCAAGTATTGCGTTAGAACTAAATGTTATTGTTGGAGGAAATACAACAATTCAGTGTTGTCAGTCTAAGGGATTATTGCAATTATTTTAAGCCAGGGGTCATGTAAACCTTGGTAAGCCTCATGTGTGGATGGAGACTTTGTACAAACCTGATGAGCCTCTCTCAGTGGCTGTCTCAGCACCCACTCTCTATTGAGCTCTCAGCAGCAGCTGCATGACCTGCTGCTTTCCTGGGAGCACAGAGGGAACCTTTTGAGGAACTCTTGCTGACTCCCTTTGCAGCAGCTGGTGGGTGCTGGGAACTAATGGACTAATGCCAACCTAAAAGGAAAAAAATCTAAGTGTGAACATAGCAAACATAAATATTTCATGCCCAATTTTCAGATTTTGCAAATAAATAAAAAGATACTATCTTAGATCAAAAGAGGTTGTGCTCCTTTAAGAACAGAGAAATCACAACAAAATTAAATAGGAGATTGCATTCTGGAAAATCACAAGTCAAGTGTTTTCTGTCAAAAGTGGGATAATTCTACCACTTAAATTATCATCTTCACTGCAACCAGGTCAGTTTATTATTAGGTTTTTATCCCAGTATACTCAAAGCTGAGTATTGCTGCTGAGATATCAATGCAACAGCAGCATTTACACATCACATATTTCCAATTCAAGGTACATCAATATCTGAATTCCTACAGATGTCTAGGAAGAATTTGTCTTATTTCTTTCTACTTCTAGATTTAGAAAAATTATTACTTTAAAAGAGGACACCATTGCAGATGGGGGTATAGCTCAGTGGTAGAGCATTTGACTGCAGATCAAGAGGTCCCCGGTTCAAATCCGGGTGCCCCCTTATTTAGTTTAGTCAACCTGGACCTCGGTAAATTCCTGGGTCCAGGTGGGATGTACCCACGGGTGCCAAGGGAGCTGGCAGAAGCCATTGATAAGCCGCTCTCCATTACCTTTAGTAAGTTCTGGGCAGCAGGAGAGGTGGCTGAGGACTGGAGGATAGCAAATGACACACCAACCTATAAGAAGGGCAAGAAGGAGGTCTTGGTTAACTGTAGACTGGTCAGCATCACCTCCATCCCTGGAAAGGTGATGGAAGAACTTATTCTTGATGCTATCTCTCAAAATATCAAGGATGAGGGGGTCATTAAGAGCAGTCAACATGGTTTTACCAAGGGTAAGTCGTGTTTGACCAACCTTATAGCCTTCTATGAGGAAGTAACTAGGTGGATAGATGATGGTAGAGAAGTAGATAAGTAGATATCAATCAAGATAAATTATTTCAGTAAAGCATTTGACACCGTCTCCCACAGCATCCTTGTAGATAAACTGTGTGGTCTTGATGATCAGGTAGTGAGGTGGATCAAGAACAGGTTAAAAGGAAGAAGTCAGAGAGTTGTGGTCAATGGGGCAGAATCTAGTTGGAGGTCTGTGACTAGTGGAGTTCCTCAGGGGTCAGTACTGGGACCAGTCCTGTTCAATATTTTCTGGATGAGGGAACAGAGTGTGCCCTCAGCAGGTTTGCTGATGACACTAAACTGGGAGGTGTGGCTGACACACCAGAAGGCTGTGCTGCCATTCAGAGAGACTTGGACAAGCTGGAGAGTTGGGCAGGGAGAAACTTGATGAAATTCAACAAGGGCAAGTGTAGAGTCTTGCATCTGAGGAAGAACAACCCCATGTCCCAGTACAGGTTGGGGGCTGACCTGCTGGAGAGCAGTGTAGGAGAAAGGGACCTGGGGGTCCCGGTGGACAGGAGGATGACCATGAGCCAGCAATGTGCCCTTGTAGCCAAGAAGGCCAATGGCATCCCGGGGTATATTAGAAAGGGTGTGGTTAGTAGGTCAAGGGAGGTTCTCCTCCCCCTCTATTCTGCATTGGTGGGGCCGCATCTGAAATATTGTGTCCTGTTGTGGGCCCCTCCATTCAAGAAGGACAGGGAACTGCTCGAAAGAGTTCAGCACAGAGCCATGAAGATGATGAAGGGAGTGGAACATCTCCCTTATGAGGAAAGGCTGAGGGAGCTGGGTCTCTTTATTTTGGAGGAGACTGAGGGGCAACCTTGTCAATGTTTACAAATGTGTTAAGAGCGAGTGTCAGGAGGATGGAGCCAGGCTTTTTTCAGTAATGTCCAGTGATAGGACAAGGGGCAATGAGTGCAAACCGGAGCATAGGAGGTTCCACATAAATATCAGAAAAAACTTCTTTACTGTGAGAGTGACAGAGCACTGGAACAGGCTGCCCAGACAGGTTGTGGAGTCTCCTTCACTGGAGACATTCAAAACCCACCTGGACAAGTTCCTGTGTGATGTACTCTGGGTGATCCTGCTCTGACAGGGGGTTTGGACTAGATGATCTTTCAAGGTCCCTTCCAACCCCTAGGATTCTGTGATTCTGTGATTTGTCCAAATTCCACAAAATAAAATCTGATGCTGAGATTTAAGAAAAAAGTACTCATCCTTGGAGCAGTCCAAAGTTTTCAAAAGGCTTCAGTTCATACTTGTGCTAATCATCCACCTGTAATTAGGGTACCTGTAGGTACTGAAGAACTTTGCAGGTTCTTTGTGCATGACTCAGTTTCACCAAGCTTGAAGAAGCACTTTGTTTACAGCAGTGGAGTGACACACACTGGCCCTGCCTCTATCCTGTCCCCCCAAAGGCCAGGTTACATCTCACTAAAGGTTAGTGCTCTCTCATGGCTCCTGCTGCAGCCCACTGAAGGTGAGGAGCCAAAAGAGGAACACCAGCATCCCCAGCAGGGAAAACAGCCCCCCCCAGTGCCTTG